ATTTAAGTAGATTTGCAGAAGATTTTCAGGGGAATTCAGGTAATTCTCAGGACATGAGAAAGTGAATTTGGAAAACAACTGTATTTTCGGAAAAATTATTATATGTCCTGAAAATTTTTTGTACATCTAGAAACATTTTGGTAACCCCTCCCCCTCTATCTAACCTCACACACACCCTCAGACGAAGTGCTCGCAACGGCACTGAGTATACATCTTTTGAAAACAGGACGAGGGGTTATTGCATGCATGTATTTCTAGTAAATTATTAAAAGGGACCACCAAAACTTAGTTTGGCCAATGTTTGAGTGTTGGTCTGTGATGCTGATTATCTACTTGAGCAAAATATTAAAATATAATATTCCTTATACAGTGTATACTTGAACAATTTATATATAACTACATTGCATTTTGGTACATATGACTGCTGGAGTAATAATTTTAATAATTAATGGTTTTGGCAAGTTCAAGTGATAATATTTCTGCAAAGATTGTATGATTGATATCGCACATTTTGCAGACAACTTAATTTATAGTCCTCTTATTCTAGATTACTTAGCTAAAACGAAAGATACAAATATATTAATTTTATAATACACATAAACCCACAATTTGACATAAAAATAATTATCTTTATGTCAACTTTCATTTGATAATGCTGCTCATTTCGACATATCACTTACCTCGTTTTACTAATAATACCAGTTTGTTCGTACTGTAGCTTATTCATTTTCTGAATACAAATACCTTCTATCTGCATTAAAATAGCCTTGTTTGATTAGATTCAAGACAGTTGCCAAAACAACTGGGACTTTTTGCTCAAAATACTTCTCGTGTGCTTCTATCTTTGTCATTAGAAAATTGGCCCGATCAGCAACGTGTAAAAGTAAAAAAACGCGAAAATTATGTTTCTGTCATACAAATCTGTAATAAAGTGGAGCCTCAACATCGCGATTTGGAGACGAAATTTTTCTAACGAGATACGTTATCCAGTCTTAGTATACAGATCAGTGTTTGGACCAGATTAGAATAGAGGTGTGTGAATCCGATACGAACCGATTGGATTCGGATCAAATTTTACGCGTTCATACTGGATCAGATTTTTTCTGTCGGCTCCGATTTTGGTAGTTTTAATGGACCACTTGCATGTTAGACTAAATTTTAATCTAAGTAAAGAGAAGGAAATAAAACCCAACAGTTAAAAAGAACATAATGAAATTAGTAAAATTGCAAAATTTGGTTGCGAAATGTTGTAAAATACAGAAAATATAGCCTTGCGAAGTTTGCATATTTTCAGTATATTTGTAAACTTCGCAAGGCTATATTTTCCGTATTTTACAACATTTCGCAACCAAATTTTGCAATTTTACTAATTTTAATAAGTTCTTTACGGGAATTTACTTTTGTTTTCCTAAATAAAAAATTAGTCTAACATGCAAGTTGTCTATTCCCGTCAGATTGAATCGGATATATTTTTACCACTGGCTACGTGTCAGATTTTGTTATTTAACGTCATTAAACTCGTGAAAATTAAACGTGCTTCGAACTAACATTTTAGTTGAAAAGTGTTAGTTTACCCAGTTCCTGCTTTCTATTATCTGTGCTGATGTTTTATAAATGGATTATTTTTCTTATACGTAATTATGTTTCTTTGTTGGTTTTACATTCACAAAACATTTTCAATGCGCGTTTCTGCAGTTGTCTAATCTGCCTTGATTTTGTCTTTAGCATGGTAGTAGACTGATGTTATATATCTAACAACATATGCATTTTTAGATCAGCAGTTACAATAGTTCAGATCGGATCGGATTGCCATTTTCAGCATCGGATCGGATTTAATATTTTTTTCGGATTGGATCGAATTACGTTTTTTCATCTTCGGACCGCATCAGGATTCGTACTCAGAAAGTGGACAAAACTTTAGATTCAAAGAGGCTAATCCGATCCAACGCACACCTAGAGACCGCATGGTCTTCCGTTTTGGAGTTTATTTTGCCTTGCTGCTATTTAAGAATCTCTGGAACCAGGGTAAAGAAGGCATAGAACAAGCAAGAAAAATGTAACATTGTAAAAAGATGAAACATGCTCAATTCTTATTACAACTAACAAAATGTTTGTAATAACAATTATGACCACATGCAAGGTATATCACATTGTCAATATGAGTCCAATCGTCCCCAAAGGCCAAACATTTGATAAAAACAACATAGGTGAACAGTTTAATAGGAAAAACTATAAAAAAGAGTCATCATGAAAACAAGTGTTACGTTTTCCAAGATATAGTTTTCAGAATTGATTGTCCCAATTAATTTACTTATTAACAAGCAAGAACAAAATAGCGAAGAAACGAAATCGAGTTTTAAGTTGCTTTTTAGAAATATGGATACTTGAACTCTAAAGCTTATACATAGATTGTGCTTTAATTTAAGATAGACAGGAGTGAAAAAATAGTATTTCGCATTAAAATGCCAGAGATTGCTCAAGATACAAAACAATTTTACCCAGGTTGTGACGTCATATCTGACGAAGGATATGCAAAACAAAACTGGCGGAATGCATAATGATTTTGTTTGAAATGAAATGTAATATCTTTTACATCAAGAACGGTCAAGAAAATCTGTGATAAGGTTGGAGTGAAGTTTGATTAAAAAGAATCCATATTGCTGGCTGATTGCGACAGCAGCCAGATGTTGAGGATTATTCGAATGAATGACGAGTCGAGAACTTTTTAACATATAGTACTAAATAATATTTATTCATTTTTTAGGTAGAATACCTTTCATTATTTTTTAAAGAGATCAACCACACCTTATCACTCATGAGGTATGATATTGCAGTTTCTGATATATGATATTACAGTTAGTGTGTAGGGCCTAGTACACTGTGTGAATTACGATTCATATTACATGAACACCATAAATAAATTTAAATTCTATTTTTCAAAACAAAAACATGGCCAATTACGGGTAGATTATAGACCTTATTCCTTAATCGTAAGTTCTCCAAAATTTTAATTATGTAAAGAAATTATATCGGATGTATCGAGCGCTTCGTGAAAAATCATCAATTACCAAAGTTTAGACGTGAAGATTAAGCAAATTCTCAGTGTGTAGGATTCTTACTGTAGTGTCCTAAATCTTGCAAGTGAATCATAAAGTTTAATTAATGTTTACGCAAACAAATTGTTCTAATTAAAAACGTTATTGAGAAAAATGTGGGTCATAAATGAATCTACGAAAAATATCTTTGTATATAGTTCAGTTAAAGTACTTTTTGTAAATAAATTTATTTATTTTTTGTTTTAAAATGTAAACAGAATCTATTTTTCTTGATAATTAATGATGCTTGATAATTAGGTTAGACTTTGCAATGATAATATTAATAGCATTGCTTTTGCATTTAACTAATAAAAATGCAGAAGCCTTAAATCACATTGTTAATATGTAAATAGCATAACATGTATACTGTATGTTTTTCGTGCATTGTTTTAGCTGCGAAGACTTTCCAAAAGGACGACTGCGAGAGACCTTGGTTTTACTTAATAATTTGGTGTTACTTGTTCAAAATGTGAAACAACATCTCAGACTTAATCAAGTTAAAATCCTTTGTCGCTTGGTCGAGTGTTTAATTACTACTATTGTACTTCAAAAGAAAGGAATTGATCTTCAAGATGAACCTAGTGTACTGGAAAATGAAAATGATCGCGATAAGAACCTTTCCACATCTTTTCAATTGACAGATATTCCGAAGGAAATGTCATCTCATTTACAATCACAGAAAGCGTTTGTTGAAGGTTTTATAGATGCAAGGCTTTCTTTAGGGCTTGAATATAGCAAGGATACAGAATGGGACCAGGAATTGCAGGTCAGTAATTGGTAAGACGTACATGAATATTAACACTTGTATTCTACATTACGTATTTACGTCAGGGGTGATACAGGTCATGAAAAATCTGGAGAGTTCGGGATTTTCAATATTTCAAAATCCAGACCTGTATGGAAATTCTGGAAAATCTGTTTCAGTCGTGGAAAGTAGGTGCATGTTTCCATTGGATATTTGGCAGTTATTTACCAATATTTCAGAGTTCCAAGCCATGGATTTTTGGAAAATGGTTACGGAGAAAATTTTAAATCGGATATGGTTTACGAACCCCGTTACGGAGCTCATAAAACTTGCATGCCATCAGCTATTAAGCTGTCAGAATAGGCTATACCAAATACGGTTTAAACTCCTTCTTAAAGCATGTACTATTTATATTGTGAAATAATTTTGTTCATCCCAAAATTCGCGATAGTGTAGGAATTATTGGACTTTTCCGTCAGAATTGGACGCTTTCCGATCTATTTAGGTTACATACAAGTTGAATTTTTATCAATCAATAAATTGGAGATTTTGCTTGATTTTATAACGCTCAAAAATCGAATTGCTATATTTACTCGCCCAAGGTCTCCTTTCTGATTAAATGAACGCTTCAATTTTAACGCATGCACAGACAAAATTTATACCGATTGGACTATATGTACCACTGGCGTAATTCTGATTGTATGTGTCTCTCGTGCAGGCTTGGAACGAACTACTATCTTTGTCTGTCCCGGACATCTTCTATATGCCGTGGCACAAGAAATTCATGGCTAAATTTCAAAATAGAATACACAAGGTATGGTGATTATTATGCATATACTCATACATGCAAGGTTTTTCAATTAATTTGTACTCATTCTGCATGCATGGATATGCATGCAAATAAATGTGCGGTAAGCATACATCCAGCTTTAAATTTTTAGACATAAGATTGTAAGATTGTTAGAGTGTAAGATTGTTAAAGCTAAGGAATTATTTTTTGCCTGCTCATGCTTACATATTATAGCTGAACGAAAATATCTAGTTTCCTGTTGATATTATTAGATTTTATGCTTCAAATTACAAAAAAAAAAAATATTGATGCTAATAAGAAAATAATGGTATTTTATAATAAATCAATATTTATGGCATTTATATACAAATAAAATTTTGGTTTTATTCATAATACATATTGTTTTGCAGTCAACCAATCAATCAATCAATCAATCAATCAATCAATCAATCAATCAATCAATCAACAATCAAAAACATTTATTTAAACATGATTTAAAAATAAGCAGCAAATTGCTGATGTGGTCGTGTGTTTACCAGTATATATATATATATATATATATATATATATATATATATATATATATATATATATATATATATATATATATATATATATATATATATATATATATATATATATATATATATATATATATATATGCTCACTGTTTTCCACTTTCACTTCGTGGCTTGATAGATCCCAATTCAACCTGTAGATTATAAATGTGTTTTACCACAGTTTCCCCAAACGAGAATGCAATATGTTACGGATGGGAAGATTACTTTCCAGTAAAAGTTATCCAGCATATATGTTTTGAGAGGAAATCCATTGATGTTAACAAATTTAATTTCCTAACGAATGCAAGTTTTGACATTTTCTGTGTGTTCTTTCCATTTCAGCTTAATGTCCAAAGTCACTCCTATAGATTTTAACTCCTTTACCCACTGCACTAAACTGCCATTCAACTCCTTTAGGGACCGGTCATAAAGTACGGGGGGTGGGGGGCTGGAAAATTCAAATTTTTAAAAACGTATTTTTTGAAGACTCACCCCCCCAAGTAAGGCATAATTATTGATGGCCCACCCTTTTGCCCTCGCATAAAAATTTTTTAACAACCCCTGCATTGAAAATTTGCTTCAAGACAAAAAGTAGACTTTCTCCAAGTCTCTCTTTCTCTTCACTTTCTTTGTGTTCTTTCTCGTTCCACTATAGTGTGTACCACATGACGTAGCCAACAAGTAGTACACACTTTAGTGGTGAGAACTCATGGATAACCCTTCATAATTTATAAAATATTAATGATATCTTTTATTTGTCTCTGATAAAACCTTGATAAAGCACAGTATGTCAACGATTTGTTAATACTTGCTATAAAAGAAAACCGCAAACTTAATGATGTATAAATATGAAAACTGTATATTAAATAGATAATTATATCAATCAGAGTCTCCAAAAAAATGACGAGTTTGATATGCTGTTGCCAGTCTTCCAAGTCTTGTATTTACAGGGATGACTTGTTTCCTGTTCCTATTAAATAGATAATTATATCAATCAGAGTCTCCAAAAAAATGACGAGTTTGATATGCTGTTGCCAGTCTTCCAAGTCTTGTATTTACAGGGATGACTTGTTTCCTGTTCCTATTAAATAGATAATTATATCAATCAGAGTCTCCAAAAAAATGACGAGTTTGATATGCTGTTGCCAGTCTTCCAAGTCTTGTATTTACAGGGATGACTTGTTTCCTGTTCCTATTAAATAGATAATTATATCAATCAGAGTCTCCAAAAAAATGACGAGTTTGATATGCTGTTGCCAGTCTTCCAAGTCTTGTATTTACAGGGATGACTTGTTTCCTGTTCCTATTAAATAGATAATTATATCAATCAGAGTCTCCAAAAAAATGACGAGTTTGATATGCTGTTGCCAGTCTTCCAAGTCTTGTATTTACAGGGATGACTTGTTTCCTGTTCCTATTAAATAGATAATTATATCAATCAGAGTCTCCAAAAAAATGACGAGTTTGATATGCTGTTGCCAGTCTTCCAAGTCTTGTATTTACAGGGATGACTTGTTTCCTGTTCCTATTAAATAGATAATTATATCAATCAGAGTCTCCAAAAAAATGACGAGTTTGATATGCTGTTGCCAGTCTTCCAAGTCTTGTATTTACAGGGATGA